TTAGTGCCTATGTGAACGATTAACATCGCTGGGTGGGCCACACTGTGTCGAGGTCATATAGTAATTTTGCTACATTACCGTATCTGGCTCCGCCCAGACCATTCCAGCGCACTGTCGGACTACTTCCAAGCCTGGTTGCTGCCCTGCGGACGATGGAATCGCCAATGACCCATACATCCACTGTAATCAAGGGTTAGCAACAAGCGAAATGAAATAAGCGACGGGGTCACTGTCCAGTACGTGCCTAAGTAGCTTAAATTATGCACCAGGCAGCTGGCATTGTACCAAAGGGCGAATATAACGTTGGACTGCCTGAATATAACGTTGGCGGTCGCCAACGGCCCATTGCTTGAATTTCCTCGATTCGAAATCCCAAAGCTGCAGCTGTAGATAAGCCGCCCCAATGCAGAAGGAGTGTGCGCGAAAGATTGAATTTCCCAGATCCAGGAATGATAAAATCTTCTTTAATATGGTCTCAAATGGGTTCACCCCCCCAAAGTGACAGAAAAAATATCCTGCCGCTTTGGTCGAATCTGGGTGAATAGTGTCAGTGCTCGCACAGAGCAAATCATCTCGTCTAATGAGGGAACTAACTGGACAACCTGAGGATGACTCATTTGATTATTCTTTGCATGCCTAAAAGTGACCAAACCGAAGAATTGGCTTGCCTCAAATTTGAGAATTTTACATCGGAAGCCATTAATATTGAATTTTGGATGTGTGTTGTGGAAATGACAGCAAACTCACTGATACGCATGAACCCCACCCCCCCCCCCCAAAAACGCACAGAGTATGACCGCGTGAAAAAGGGTGACTTCATATCTGTCACTGCACACTTGTGGGAGGGCTTGAACGATGCGAGATAACACCAGTAACACCGTATATCGTTCGCTGAGTTATCCTTGCGGCAGCCTGTCTGTAGTTTCATCACCAGGAAATCTTTAGTGGGATCCGGCCAACTGTGAAGTTTGTGATAGTAACCCACCCCGGAAACATAAGTAGAGAGTGTTGACGGTGCAAGCCGTTGCAGTGACAGCCATGCAATGAATTGCCGAACGTCTTCAGGCAAGGCCGGAGAGGTAGCATCAAATCTCTAGCCTCGAAATGAACAAAATGCTCGCCAGCTTGTCTGATATGTCTTGAGTGTATTTGCCGATGAAGCGGCTTCTTATAAGCGGTAGATCTCACCTTGTATTAAACTACGAGCAGATTGGGGATCGCTGTCATTGTTAAGTCCGCTTGTGGGGCTAACGCACAGAAACGGGCCACCTGAAAACGTGAAAGGGAATCGGCAGTGTCATTGTACACGCCGGGGATATGGATGACTTTAAATATTATATTATGCCGCAAACACTGACAGAAAAAAAGACGCGCGATCTGATCGCAAGGCGACGACTGCTTGTTGATGATATTTACCATGGCTTCATTATCGGCGCGAAAACCGACTTTGTGGTTTGCCAACTTTGGGGCCCAACAATACGACGATCACTATTGGGTAAAACTCACAATATGCTATCGATGGCGAAAGGGCTAACAGCTCAGGAGGCCATTTTCCTTGAAACCACTGGCCACCGAAAAATCCACCGAACCCAATGCTGGCAGCGTCGGTGAACAACTATAATGCATCATTATCATGCCAGCCTATATATCACAAAACGGAGATACCCCATTGAAATGATCCAAAAACTCTAACCACATCAAGAGGTACAGTTTTGCGCCCGGTGATACGCGTAATTTATGATGGTGCTTCCGTAACCCCCGGGTTAAGCCAATTAAACGCCTAATAAACGCTCTTCCCGGTGCGATAGCCCGACATAAAAGGTTGAGTGAACCAACCAATGACTGAATTTCCCGTAACGACAATTTATTCTGCCCTGAGCTCGACTGAATTTGTTTTGCAGTGCAAGTACCTTTACACGAGGAACACGGACTTGACGCTGTACCACATCAACCTCCAGACCGAGGTAGGTGATTTTGACAAGGGCCCTCTGTCTTTTCATCTGTGAGTGGTACGCATAGCTGCGCGCAAACGTCCTTAAAGGTTTTGACATGGACTTGACAATGTTCGACGGATTCACCAACAAACAGAAAATCATCCAAGTAATGCGTGATATTGGATGTTTAAAAATTCGCTTAACGTGAAACTCCAAAAAAATGCTAAATGTTTCATATAACGAACAAGAGATAGAACAGCCCATGGGCAAACACTTAGTAAAACTTGTTTTGGAACTGAAAACCTAAAAGCTAAAAGCTAAAAGGCGGGAAGGAGCCGAAAAGCAGATTTTATGTCCGTTTTTGCCAACCAAGCATTGGTGCCCACCGACATAGCTAAATCATGATAATGTGATAACCATTTCCGTAAAACAGCTAAATTAACGGGCGTTGGGAGCACGAAAATTTGTGTGCTTATCCCATTTAGTACCACTCAACTGTGGGTTACTAGTAGTGTTGGTATCCAAGCCCGTCCCTTGCCGAAACGCCTGCTGCGCGCCCGACGGAGTCTTCGTGTAGCGCGTAAGTAGCGCTAGCAGGGGTTGCCGATTGGGTGTGCGCTTGGTGTGCAGCGGGCGGATGTACATGTAGCGCCTCAGTAGACTGACTGCCGGTAGCAATGGAGGGTGGCAGGTCGATCGGGCCCGCTATTCCCGTGTCAACTGGCACTAAAGCCCTCGGACGGCTACGACCATGACGACGTCCACTAGTGCTGGCGTGCGGCTGGGGTGACCGAAAAGCCTGTCTCTTGTATTGCCGTTTTGGATGCGGCATTCCGGGGTGGATATCGGAGAACTCGAGAAGAAGGGCAGAACGAAGTTGGCGAGGCCTACCAGCGCGCTCCCGCCTGAGGAGTCCAGAGCCAGCGAGGCAGCTAAGCCCCACTACGAAACGACGAAAAGTCGTTTTTCTCAACTAATCAAGGAAATTTACACCCGAAGTATCACCTTGTATGCTCCAAGACGGTCCAAAATAAATATTCCAGAAACCAAGGGAGCACCAGGGAGAAATGGAGTTTTGCCAGGGTAATTTAATTTGCGATGCAACGGCTTCTGAGAGCTACGCCGAAGTGGCCTTCTCGCGCCGCGCCCGCGTCAGGCATTTACGTAACGTGCCAAAATGAATGTTTAACATTGTATTCATATTTTTGTTCCTACGTGGAATTACATATCATAGCACTATGACCTCGTTGGCTTCGTGCCAGCCAAGTTGCGGCCAGGTGTCTGCACTCTAACCATCATGTTTATTATAATGGCAACCATCAGCTGATGAATGAGATCAGTGAGGCAACAACACGGTGTGGCTGCCGAGAATAATGCATTTTATCTGGTAGCGATAAAATAGATTATTTTGACCATTTTTTGGGGGACTGCCGACTTTTTGTATCTGGAAGTGCGGCAAATTGGGTTAATAGAGACCACGATTGCTTCTAAGAAGGCAGAAATTTGGTTAGGAACTACAAAGTGGAGGCAGTAAAGATCTGTGTCGTGAGTGCACTAAGGTTCTGGCAAATTTTTCTTATATTTGATTTCGCCGTCGTTTTAATGATGGTATGTTGAGGAATTCAAGGGCAAGTGAGTATTCAACATAATTATTGTAACCTAGAATAATTCAACATGC